TTCTGTCAAAAGAGGAATGATAGCACATACAAAGTTGCATTTTTTTTTTTTTTTTTATAGCTATGGTTTGTAATATTAGATTTGTAGCTAACTGTTTCTCATTATAAAGTTAATTCTGCCAACAATGATTCAAAAATATTCTCATTTTATTCAAAGTATCACCTATAAACAGAACTTTTCTTAAGTCATTGTTACACTCCTTCTTTTGTGTCCTTGCAGGCAGAATTGTCAGGAGCTGTGGCTGTAAGTTCAGTCAGTTTACCCCTGAGGTAGCCTTTTCTCCAGTCATCACTAGCAATGACTCCGGTGACGTCCTCAATCTGACTCGACTTGTACAAGTGGGCTAAATAAAGACTGACAAGCCACACGCCAGTTCCCCCTCTGCTCCAGGCAAGTTTCACCCCACTTTTCTCCACACAACAGCACACAACAACTTATTCCCTTCTTCAATTTGACAAACCTGCTCCTGTGTGAAATTTTGATCCCCTATCATTTACTGGGGGTCATATGATATCTCAAAATAACACATTTTAGGAAAACATCCACACACTGAACTGTCTTTGTCACGCACACACAAACACTAGTATACATTTAAAGCTCTCTTGTGTGGTCGAGAACTTGAGTAGACCTCACATTGAGTCTGCAACACTATTCTTTCCGACAGATTGCTGATTTTTGAACCGCCAAAACCTCAGCACAGTCTAATGTGTGTTTGTGCTACTTTTAAAGAGCAATTAAGAGTGAAACAACGTCACGTTTACTGCCCATTTTTTATTGGGAATATGGAGGATTATGGAGGAAGGAAGGAGGGTGAAATGAGGTAGCTATCAGAGTGCTGAATATCGTAGTGCCAAACTGAATACCTTAATTCACAAAGACACTTCTGATGAAAAGGAGTAGGAGAGTAAGAATTATAATATAGTTTAATATGATGTACCATAAAAAAGTACTGTGAGACAAAATGGTTTTGTGGCCCAAATGAAAAAGAATTTTCCCCAACTGAAGAAGATATTTGAATCTGAGTATAGGGGCACTGTATCTTGTACACTGTAGGATAAGTCTAGATGGCAGAGGCACATGCTTTTAATGTCAAATTTTCCTATTTTTGTGTCATTTTGTCATTTTGTAGAATAAATAGTTCATGGCTTGCATTTGTAACCTGTCTGGGAGTTTTGCCCTGTACAGTTTATTGAATCCAGTCCCGCCCCTGTGGTATCTCTCCCAGGTGACAGTAAGTCTGGCGTCGTCTATTCCCTCCCGCTCGCTCGCTCTGGGCCAATCAGGGACAAGCTGCAGATCAATAGGTTGCGTTTTCCCCCACCAGCCCCATTTCTCAGCCTGGGACACTGATGCTTACTATCAATAGCAATAAGGGGCTGCCTTAGACACAGTTAACTGTTGGTCGACCAGCACAACTGTCTGGCAGCGGTTGATAAACATCTTGAGCGCAGAGTCAAAGAGAATAAACTACTTTATATGTTAGAACTTCGTGGAGTGTTTACGGTAGAAAGAAGAGGGGCGAGTGGGTTGTATAGTCACAGGGTATCTGCATGTGCAACTTACAATACTTTTAAGAATTTGTCAATATATTTCCTTCAAAGTCTATTTTTGTTTTGTCCAAAAAAAAAAAACGAAAAAAAAAAAAACACCCAAACTCAAATTTCATTGGTGGTGTAAAGTAATGTAAGTAATTTCTTCAAGATGTTTGCCATGTTTGGTTTTTTGGTAACCCCCAGCCCTAGTAATGTGAGTGAGTGTAATCCGGCTCCATTCTGTGAAATATCTAACAACCTAAGCATCTCTTGCCACGTCTAAATATCATTTGTCAATGTCATATGAAAGCACATTGTGTTTTTCAAGAATACCAAAGGAGCTAAAAGAGGAGTCTTGGTTGTCATCCAATGCCATGGTGTTTCCAGTTAAGGCAACTCAAGCGAGCATGTTTAATCAGATACAATCAAGTGAATTAGGATCATAAGAAGTGGACGATATAATGATCACGGCTCAATGTCTCTATCAATGCACAGACAGTAATGAGAAACAGTCTTAGGAGAAGCTACATTTAAGGGTATAATTGTAAGTCTACTGCATTCTATGTATTTTTAGCTCTTTTTCTTATGTAACTTTGTCATATTATGAACATTATGTTTATTGCTGCTGTATGATATTCATTGAACTATGTCCTTATCTATGCAAAATGATGAATACTTTCTAAGTGTCTTTTGTGAAGGTGTTTTACTTTAAGGCAAAAGTCTATATAATGAATTTGAAAGTTTTGTGCTTAAGATTGCTAACTTAATATAGATAATTTCAGAAAAAGAAAAGATGAAGAAAAGTAAAGATGAGCTGAAAGCCTCTCCACAAAATTTTGCTATATATTTTTGACTTTTGTACCTGAGATGCACACTATTTAATTAGAGGTTTTCTGACCACTGACCCTTCACACCTTCATTGCCCTCTTTCCTCCTGATGTTTGCTTGTGAGGCAAAGGTGGCCTATGACAGAGGAGTGCGGTCCGTAACTGCAGCTGAGATTGTGTAAAAGCAAACAGGACCCATTGATACGGGGTGAGCTGCAGGAAGTTGTCAGGGGCACAAAGGGAGGAGAGGATGAGCGAGACAAGTGGTGGCAGGGCTGTGGAGGACAATACACAGCCCCTGATCTCTTCATTAATGGAGGCCATCCTTTGCTGCTGCTGCAGCAGGTACTGCATTCTAATGCACTCCATTTTTCACACAAAGCTTTAACAGTGAGCTATACTAAAGACATAACAGAAACCACACTATGATATTTGCTATACATTGTATTAAGACCTGTAGATTTCTAATATCATATACATTTCATATATAATAGTTTATAATAGCTTTTGTGTCAGCAGGACAGAAGGAAACTGTGGCCCTATTTCTTGATTTCTTTAAGCATGAGACCAGCTTACAACAATCTCTTTAATCAAGCTCCTAATCCTCCCGCAAGACGTCAGTGTGCACGACGGCCTGAGGCATCTCCATATTTGCTTTGGGAAGATGAGGTTTAAACTCACGCGTTAACCTACAGTATTCAGGAAAAAAAGCATTTGCTTGTATATATAACATATTCCTTAAATGCACTTTTTTATGTCGGTACATTTACATTGTTTTCCTTGCTGGGTTATACAGCAGTTTATCTGAGCACAGTGCAAGTCCACTGCGACCGCAGCACTTTATCTGTTTAGCCCGTTTCCCCGCTTTCTTCTCCCGTTATCTCAGACTCGCGCGCTCAGGCGCGTGCACGTGGGACTAGGGCCCTAGTGCTCCTCGCTGTGTTTGGAGGCGCGTCGCGTGGCTGTGTAAAGTAGCCTACCACGTGTTGAATGTGGAGTGACGGAGGGCTGTGGAGCAGTGCGCTCCTGCAGCTCTGTCATGGCATGGCATCAGTGGATGATTGGCTAAAATGAGTAGGCCTTTGCGCGCTTTGAAAACCACAGTGATTATGATGAGTTAAAAAAAAAAAAAAAAAGATTCGTCAATGGCATTACATTTTGTAAATAATATTTATCTTTATAAAGCAAATTATAAGAGAAAATTATTGATGAAGATAAAGTTTGCGGTTGTTCTTTTCGTAGGAAGTCTTCCCACTGCGCTGTGAGCGTGTGACTGTTAACAGTATCCTCCTCGACTTCGTTCCCAAATGAATCCCATTTAAAATGTCTCGCGCTCGGCTGGACTGCAAATCACCCTGTTTACAATCTCACACCAACACTCACATCAATTAAGCGCTCATTGATTTTCCCGCCCGCGACATTACAATATTGCACAGGCCTTTTTCCTTTTGCAGTCATAATTACGTGCGCTTTTGCATTGTGTCTAATTGATAATGCGCTATAATTTCTCTGAACAGTGCTTACAGTGTCTCAGGTAGCCTATTATTTTATGAAAAAATAAAAATAAAATAAAAATGTATAGCATCTTGTTCTGAAATGTTGTGGAGCATCAGAGTTTGATTCTCTGACTGCTCCATGAATAAGTAAATAGTGGAGGCAAGTCGAAACTAAAAGATAGCTGACACGAGAGAGGAGCAGATCCATCTCGCCTGCAGCTGCTCGTTAAATATTCAGTGAAAAATAATGGCATCCCGGCCATCACCTATGGTAACGTTATTATGTTCATTCCTCAAAATCAGCCCCACTGAAAGCTTCGTTTATCTTTTCTTTGTAATAAATCTAGTGAGAGCAGGCGCTCCACTGGGACCTCTTGCCCTTAACACATCGCTCTCACGTCTGTTTCTATTGACAGCAACGATAATAATAATAATAATAATAATAATAATAATAATAATAATAATAATAATAATAATAATAATAATAATAATACAGCAACAATACGTTTTATAATAATTTATAGATTAATAATGTTTGACATTATAGGCTACATGAGGGTATTTTATCAAATAATGACACAAAGCATGTAGGCTAAGGATTGTTATATTGTCTGTCAAGCCTAGCCTAGGCCTTTATAAAGATAAGATGAATTTTCAAAAATATATCAAGCTTATAGGACATATATCCTTCGCTGTTGCTGGCCAAACTCACCCAAAAGTGAACCGTTTAAAAAACAAAAACAAAATATTTTTCTTTAACATATAGGCCTATTCTAACTATCGGCAAAATTGGCATACGTGTTACATAGTCAGTTGTTTTTGAAAAACATATTTTAAAAGGCTGCTTTGGAAATAAAACACATAACAAAAGTTAACCTTATGAAAGCGCTGTCTTGCTCTGTGGTGCGCTCTGGTCACTAGTGCGCGCCACGCTCCTAGCTCCAGAGTGACGAATGGGCGGAGGGAGGGAGAGAGAGGAGAGAGAGAGGAGAGAGCTAGCGGGGATGGATGGTGATGAAGGGGTGGAGGTGAGGGTGGGTGACTGAACAGCCCTGTGGCCAATCAGCTCCCGTGTGGGTGGGGCAATCTGTATTGGTCCCAGCGCTGCACGGGCCCTCAAAGTTTGTTTATTCGCGGAATGCAGTGTGTGATGAAAACGTGTTCGTTAAGCAAAGACTTTTACTACTAAAAAATCAAGTCAAATCAAAGCCGCGGGACACTGGATCTCTGCCTCGGGATAACGCTGTGTGTTTGTAGGAGCTCCTGGTGGACACGGCACGCAACGGCGACGCACGGGACATGTGTTTTGCCGAGACTTTTGAAGTCCGAAAAGTGCGTAAAGAAGACAAGGGACAGCCTGGTGACTGGTTCAGATTCAGACTGTGGACAAAGTTAGCGAACTAACTAAGAAGAAAGTGCTGCCTGGAGATGCGGACTGCCAGCGTCCAACTGTGACTCTCACGTAGCAAGGGGTTAACGCGCGTCCACGGGGAGTTGGGACAAGCTCTGCCTTTCCTTCGTTCGGATCAACTCATTGGGTGGGAGCTGAAAGAGAGACAAGAGTCCCCAGCAAATCAGGAGCTAATTGATTAAAGAGACTTCATTTGAATAGGAGGGGGGCTGGCGAGGTGCCAATCGCCTTTCAAACAAGCCTCCCCCGTATGATTAATCGCGCAGCATTATTGATAATCATAACGGGGCACATGCGCGGTGGATGGGCTCCATTTACGTAATTTTTCAGAGGGGTTTTGTACTCATTTTTTTATTCGGCGCCTGCTGATGTGCCAGCCAGCATGTCGCGGAGGAAACAAGCGAAGCCGCAACACTTCCAGTCGGACCCTCTTCTGCCTCTACCCGAGCACAATGGTAAGTCCACGCGCACAGCACCAGCCATCAACATTTAATACACTTTAGGACTTCCAACAAGTCTCTTTACTTTACTTATCTTTACTTCTTTGGGGTATATCATTACTAATCCCTTTTCTTTTTGAAGCAACTTGGTTGTTAACCAACACCTACAACTTTTATCACATTTTAAAGAGAGTGTTCTTTTTATTTTCAGATAGCCAAGTAGTTTCACGAAATCGTTTCCGTTACGCGCAGGGCATCTCGGTTTAATTTAAGTTAGAATGTGTTTAAGGATATGTTTAATGATTGGTTTAAAGATAAATAGCATATTCAAACAAAGTAAAACTTCCTTGAAGAAGTGTCCCCCACTTTCTCCGGGCCATCGTATCTTGTCCGCGTCCGTAGACCCAAACCGTCCCGCACGCCGCTCCCAGCTCTCCCCTCGAACTTTCCTCGTTCTCTAACCCTAACTCTCGTTCTCTGACTGGAGCAGTTTTTATCGCATGGCGAAATTTCACCCCTTGTTTTAACATCAGTTTTTTGCTTTATGTTTGTAAAAGAAATGAATGCGCTTAAAATGTATTCCTCGTGTTTGTGCGTTTATCTTCGTCCGATGATTACAGAGTTAAGCTGAACTTATTCGGTAGACAATTAATCATTTATTAAAATACAACGATCAGTGTTAGGTATTGCTGAGTGTTTTTATTAACTCGACTTATAAAAATCTTTGCGGAGCTGTGGCTATTATCAGGTAACTTTGACGCACTCCGTCTCCAGTTTTAAAGTTTTCTTGGGCTTTCTTAGATGAAATTACGGACCATTAAAAGTGCAAACGCTTTTTCTCAACAGTAACAATATTAAGGTAAAATTACGCATAATACTGACCAAAATTTGTTGAAGGAAAGGCCTTTTGTAAAAGAGTTAATTCTCATCGTAGTCAGTAAAACTCAAAACAGTGTAACGAATTGTTTAGAGTAAATAACTTTAAACTCTAAACTGGTTTCTCTCATTCTTTCATTCTCCTCAGAACGTTTTTTTAAGAATAACCTGTAACATAGCTTTGTATGTTTTGAATTGTCCGCAAACAAGGTTTAATAAAATAGTTAAACAAGTTTGCTTGAAGTAAGTCTCTAGGTGTTATCTGCACTAATGCTGCCGTTATTGTAAATATGCAGTATTTAATTTGTCCTACAGAATATTCAGAGGCCATTCAGCATGTTGAAAACAGAGCACTGTTTTCACTTGGATTTATTCAGTTATGTTACAAATAACATCAAGTTAATTTTTGTCTTCTTAATGATCTGTACAACCAGAGCCCATCTCATCAACTTTTTTTCCCTGCACTGTCCTGTGTGTGAGTGTTATGGTCAGTCCTTGTCTAAGTGTGTGAGGTGGACGTAGAAAGTGTGTTTGGATCCTGGGAGGTCGCTGCGAGAGCCATAGAGGGTGGTTTGTGCTGCTATTTTAACCTTTGCTTGTGTCCCTGTGTGCGGAGGTGAGCAGAGTTCAGACTGCAGTGTGTTCCCTGTGGGTCATCATTGACCCTGCTGTTCGGAGTCTTCTCCCTAAGTGTGTGTGCGTGTGAACCGGCCCTTATCAATGCTGTGGCCATCCCCTTTCACCCTATCACAGTGGCCCCCTGTAGATTGACCCCCTCTGCAAACACAGCGCTCTAACTTGTCATTTTGCCAGTGTTTATTCGACATGGGCCTAGGTGTAGCCCCAGGACTCGCCTTTTCCCTCCCCCTGAGCAGTCATCAGGGCATCACTGCAGAGTGTAGACGGCCGTGGCTTTAGTGGAGCCCATCTACTGTTCAGTGGGACGAGTCTTAACCGAGCAGAAACTCTGCTGAAGTTACAAGTGTCAATGAGCTCTCTGAGGCCTCCAACAAAATAATGTAGGACCTTTTAATTTTTCTCTAAGTAAATCTGGCTTTCCTCTTATATTTAGGCGTAGTTTCACTGGATCTGTCCTCCGTTCTTTGTGCACGCTGATGTCTTTCAGTTCCCGGTACTGCTTTGCATGGGCATTCTACACAATTGGGCAAGTTCATCTTTTACAGAAATGGACTGTCTTAGCTTAGTTTTGATTCACATCTAAGCCGCTCTACTTTGGGAATTAAGCTTGCTCGTAGCATTTGTCTTCTTATCTTCTGTAGCTGTGAATTATCCTTTTTTAGCGTACTAATAAATAAAAAAAATCTATAAGTACATATTCGATGTATGCACTTAAAGGAAATTATAAAGTAAAATGAAATATTTATTAAAATCGGTAATTAAAGCAGAATTATGAATATATGAAACATTAACCGTTCTTAACATATTTAAAATTATTTACAAGCGTAATGTCTCAAATAACTTTATGTATTGGTAAGAAAATTGTAAATTTTTTTCCTAAATTGTTCTGCACATTTTGTTAACACAAATTAGCCCGTAGTGTTTTTGTCATATTATTTGTATATTTTTTCTTCGTGTGAGGTAAAATGTTTATGTAACATTAATTGCGTTTGTTAGCTAAATTTAATGAAAACTTTTTTTGTAGTTGTACCTATATTTACATATATTGGTGTTTTGCTGAAAGCTTGGCATGGTTTTGGACAAAGCTGAGAAGCTTTTTGTTTTTACTTAAAATAAATGGTAATTAACAACTCAATTGCAATTATTTTTGGTTATCTTAATTGTTAAAATACAAAAGGCATTTATTTTATACCCTCTTTTAATCCTCCTAACTTTAAAACTAAATGATGGTTGGTTGGTCAGCAGCTGGCTGAAAGGGGGATCTGATGTGGAAAGTTATCATTAAAGTTGACTCTTCCTTGTGTGCATGGTTTGGTGGTGTGAGGGCCGGGGTTTACTGTCATGGTAACTTTGCCTTATCTGATGTCTGTGAGTGGAGAAACATTGAGGGAGATAATCCCTGAATTGAACAGGATCTGCTTTGAGGCGACTCGGAGATGAGCAGGGCCAGGCTGTGCCGGCAAAGCCCGCCGCTCCCATGCTGCGCAAACAATAGGAAGGCATCCTGTCTCTCTGTGGGGCAGGGCTGCACTTCTCTGGTTTTCATTTGCAAATGAATTCTTGGCCCTGATGAAAGTGTGGAGGGGCCAGAGCCACAAAGAAAGGGATTCATAGAGAAATGCAATTTGTAAATCAACTTGTATGTTAAACAGTGGAATTTGAGAGCGACAAAGAATGAATGAGGACAAGTCTGGAACACAACAGTAGTGCTGGGGACATAGTGTCGTTTTAATAAATGGATGAACATTTTCAAAAGTAGTTGAGGTTTTTAAAAGGAGAATGATTTATTCTCAACAAAAGCTGAATTGTCTGTTTTGGTTGTCTGGAAAGTCTTGCTTTGTGTATTATTGTACTACATATTATTTATTAACATTGTTTTTTCAGTATTTAAAAAGTAAATGAAAGAAATACATCATATTTTTCTAATATTAATATTAAAGTGCATTAGGGCTTATTGTGGTTTAATCTTTATGAAACGTTATTGTGCCTCAAACGCGATTGTTCATGTCTGCGTGATTGCAGCTTGAGTGGATACAAATTGGTTTAGTGACACAGATAAACTGTCAAAGATGTCTAGTTGGCTGAAAATGAGCTGGGTTGACAGCAAATTGAAAGTCTAATAAGTCCTTCAAATGTTTGATTTTTTTGCAGAGTGAACAAGTAGACTTTGAAGGGCAGTAGTTATTGGAAATCAATGGCATTTTATGAAATTCCATTAAGAATCAATGTCCTCACTTCATTCTGTTGTATATTTTGAATGGATTATGTGGAAAAAAAAGATTACCTTTAGTTAAAACCCTCATGCACAAGGATCACTTTTAAGCAAAATTCGAGTAGTACCCATTGATTTTGTATCACTTCTTATCAGCTTGCAGAGGCCACTGCCAATTTCTTAACTTTTTTTGTCTATTGTTTCTTTCTAATTGTTATTTCTCATCAAAGGAAGTGTACAACGGATTAACAAGAATAGGAGAGATAAAGAAATAAAACTGAATATACATTTAGTTTCTAATCTAAATGTTTCTGTTTTATCTTTTTCTAGGGGATGCAGAACTATGCTCAGAGGAAGCCCCCCTCAAGGACTCAGATGCCCATGTCTGCAACAGATGTTGTGCTGAGTTCTTTGAACTATTCGATCTTGAGGAACATCAGAAAAATTGCACTAAGAATCAGTTAGTTCTGATAGTTAATGAGAATCCTGCCTCTCCTGCTGGAACATTTTCACCTGGATCTCCCCATAATCCTGATGACCAGATGAATGACGCAGTGAATAACACTGACCACACTGAGTCCAGTCCTCTTCTGGAGCCCAGCGCTCTTGACAAAGATGAATCTATGGATGTGGACGTTTCAGGAATGAGCAGTGGCCACGAGGAGGATGGTAGTCACACAGAGAGTGCCAGCCCTGTACACACTGGCAGCAGGGGAGCATCTGGTCCTGCTGTTGGCACTTCACCTATTTCTGCCCCTCTACCTCAGCTCAGTAACCTGGCTGAATTGGGAAACTTCTCAATGATCAATAGTAATGTTATAATTGAGAATTTGCAAAGCACCAAAGTAGCTGTAGCTCAATTCTCTCAAGAAGCTCGTGGGGGTGCAGGGCCAAGAGTGGCAGTGCCAGCCCTGATGGAGCAACTCCTAGCACTACAGCAGCAACAAATCCACCAGCTTCAACTAATTGAACAGATTCGCCACCAGATACTGCTGTTAGCATCACAGTCTCCAGAGATGCAGGCAGCATCCACCTCTACAGCAGGCAGTGGAGGGGCAGCAGCCAGCCCTCTGACCACTCTCAGCTCCCATCTCTCTCAACAGCTGGCTGCAGCTGCAGGCCTTGCCCAGAACCTGGCCAGTCAGTCAGCCAACATCAGCAGCCTGAAACAACTGGCTGCCGCAGCACAGCTACCTCAACCCGCCCCCTGCAGTAGTGAGAAATCTCATAGCATGAGCACACTAGGCCCATCTACAGGCTCCCAGTCCTCTGACAAGAGGCCAGCTCATGTCAGTAGTCTACACTCTCAGCTCAGCAGCTCTCCACTAGTGAAGTCCTCCACACCAGCGTTTGGCATAGGTAATTTGTTAAGCTCTGCAGTCAATCCCCTACTACCTCAGCCCCCACCTGGAAACCCCATGTTCTCCAGTTCTCTTCCAAGTGTTGGTACCACCGTAGAGGACCTCAACTCTTTAGCAGCTTTGGCCCAGGCAAGGCAAGCCAAAGGCAAGCCACCCAATGTCACTTCCTTTGAACATAAGAGCAGCTCGGATGAGGCGTTCTTTAAGCATAAGTGTAGATTTTGTGGTAAAGTGTTTGGAAGTGACAGTGCCTTGCAAATCCACTTGCGCTCTCACACTGGCGAGAGGCCATATAAATGCAACATCTGTGGCAACAGGTTCTCTACTCGTGGAAACTTAAAGGTACATTTCCAGCGTCACAAAGAAAAATATCCACACATCCAGATGAATCCCTACCCAGTTCCTGAACATTTAGATAACATCCCAACTAGCACGGGTATTCCCTATGGTATGTCCATGCCCCCTGAGAAACCTGTCACCAGCTGGCTAGACAGCAAACCTGTGCTGCCCACACTAACTTCCTCAGTTGGCATGCTGCTTCCACCAACTATGCCAAGCCTCCCACATTTCATTAAAAAAGAAGATCACTCAATAGCCATAATGAGCCCTTCTGTTACAGCAAAGAGTGACAATGGTGCTGCAGAACCCTCTGCAAAAAGTGACGGGGCATCTGAAGAAGGTGAAGGAGCAACTCTGCCTACCTCAAATGGGAAGAATGAAGAAGGCAGCCAATCCTCAGGCATAATGACAAATGTTAGCTCTGCCTCTGATAGCACTGCTGAATACACCACATCCAATAGCCCACCCATGATGACCAACCCACTCATGCCTCTCATGTCTGAGCAGTTCAAGGCTAAATTCCCTTTTGGCGGCATCCTGGATCCTCTCCAGGGGTCAGAGACGTCCAAACTTCAGCAGCTTGTGGAAAACATTGACAGAAAAGTGACAGATCCTAATGAATGTGTCATCTGTCACAGAGTACTGAGTTGCCAAAGTGCTCTAAAAATGCACTATCGTACACACACAGGGGAGCGGCCTTTTAAATGTAAAATCTGTGGAAGGGCATTTACCACCAAGGGCAATCTAAAGACACACTACAGTGTCCACAGAGCCATGCCCCCTCTAAGAGTGCAGCACTCCTGTCCTATTTGTCAGAAGAAATTCACAAATGCTGTGGTTTTACAGCAGCATATCCGCATGCATATGGGTGGTCAGATCCCTAATACCCCTCTGCCCGACAGTTACCCTGAATCCATGGCCTCTGACACTGGCTCATTTGATGAAAGGAACTATGACGATCTCGATAACTTTTCTGATGATTACACTGAAGGAATGGAGGAGGGTCCAGACAGCAGTGTGCCTGATACACCCAGGTCTGCGGATGCTTCCCATGACAGTCTGTGCAACTCCCCGGCTCCTCTGGATGTTGGAGGCCAGGAGGGGCATGAGCGAAACAATCAGCTGATCACCGACAATAATGACATGGAAGAGATACAACCTAGCCAAGGGAAAACTGCTGCAAATGGCTCAGGTGATGGGGATTGTTTCACAAATGACTCCTCATCACTGGGAGGGGATCTTGAAAGCCAAAGTGCCGGAAGTCCAGCTGTATCAGAATCTACCTCCTCCATGCAAGCACCATCCCCAACTAATGTTCACCCTCAAATACGCAAATCCCCTACGCTTGAAGAAAGGCACCAGAGGCCCTTTTCCATGGAGCATACAAGTCTCTTACACTCTCAGCCTCCAAACACTGCCCTTGACCTGACTTCTGTTAATTCATCAAAAGACCCCCTTGGCATGATTTTCCCCTTTCGAGAACGCAGCGTCACTAAAAACACTTCATGTGACATCTGTGGCAAAACCTTTGCATGTCAGAGTGCCTTGGACATTCACTATCGAAGCCATACCAAAGAACGACCTTTTATTTGCACGGCCTGTAACCGGGGTTTCTCAACTAAAGGCAACCTCAAACAGCACATGCTTACCCATCAAATGAGAGACCTGCCATCACAGCTCTTTGAACCATCCAACACTAACCTCTCCTCCAGCCCGACCCCTTCTCTACTCTCCGTGGGACCACTCAGCAAACCTGAGGTGAATGGCTTCCTCCACAGCCTCCACCCAGATAACAAGGACTTGCCCCCCAGTATGATCACATCCTCCGCCTCCACCTCCCCTGTGCTGTCTGCGCCCCCTCCCCGCAGGACACCCAAGCAGCACTTCTGTAACACCTGTGGGAAGTGTTTCTCGTCCTCTAGCGCTCTGCAGATCCATGAGAGGACCCACACCGGAGAGAAGCCGTTTGCCTGTAGCATTTGTGGACGTGCTTTCACCACCAAAGGAAATCTCAAGGTAAATGCAAAATACTGTTATGTTGTGTGTCCAGGTTTAAGCACTGTGTAGAGAGGCTTTCTGTGCATTGTTTTAACTGTTATAAATTGCCTGTACACAATTTTCACCAAGAGTAAAAAATTTACATTTCTGAAAAAATATACCTTTGGTGTAGTTGTTGTATGCTATGTATTATAATATGCTGGTTTGGCAGATGGATATCGTAATGCAGGGTCTATTTAATTTGAAAGTATACAAATGTACTACATTTATGATTCAGCAAATGAAACGCTGAGTTCTATGGGAAATAGGACTTTAAAGAATTCTGCATGACTGAACCATATTCATCAAATATTGTGTTGTCATGTGAATGTGGAACTTAAGGTTCCAAACAAAATAAGTTGTTTACTCCTACCTCACAAAGCACAAGGCAACTAAATTGTCTGTTGCGCCCGGGGTGTGAAACTATTTTAATTTGAAGGAGAGCATTATTGTTATTTTTTCCATTGCATCATCTCAGCCATAGCGGTTTAGTTTGTAAACATCACTCATTCTTTTCTCTTCTTTTTTTCTCTCCTCTCTCAGGTTCACATGGGCACTCACATGTGGAACAGTGCTCCTGCCAGACGGGGCCGTCGGCTCTCTGTGGATGGGCCCATGGCCTTCCTGGGAACAAATCCGGTCAAGTTTCCGGAACTTTTTCAGAAAGACATGGCTTCAAGAGCTGGCAATGGTGACCCTGCCAGTTTTTGGAACCAGTATGCTGCAGCCTTTTCTAATGGCCTTGCCATGAAAACAAATGAAATCTCTGTCATTCAGAATGGAGGACTCCCACCTATGTCGGGTGTTATAGGAAATGGTGGTAGCTCTCCTATTGGTGGCATGACTGGCAGCTTAGACAAGCTACATAGCACAGAGCCCAATGCTGCACTTGCAGGGCTGGAGAAGATGGCGAACACAGAGAACGGAGGCCACTTCCGCTTCACGCGGTTCATGGAGGACAATAAAGAAATTGTAACCAGTTAAACAGTATGTGTATACCCATAGTGACTATGATGATGCCTAAAGGCATAGTGTAATCATGTAAACACATACAGAATATGAGTAAGAACAAGACAGGGACAAAATCAAGTATCTGCTTTGCTCGCCATTGAATCTTTACAGACATCAGTGTGAAGACAAAGCTGCTTTTTGTACAATGTACATGTTATAGTTTTAATGAGCTTATTTATTAGTGGTTATAACCTTGCTTGAATCTAAATGGAAGCATTAACAGTTAGGTTTTTGTTTTAAGTGAGAATGGATGTGTGTGTGCTTTCAAAATGTACTTTTGAACTTTAGAAAAACTGGGTAGAGAACTTTACCTTGACATTAAATTATTTTCTGTCTGTAGTACCTATATTCGAACTGTCGTTGTTCATGTGATGCATTATCCTTGTAATAAGCAAAGAAACTTGCTGTAAATAATGTATACTGATCCTCTGTAGACAGTCTAACCTCTGTGTGTCCATACACCCCCACTCCCCTCATCCAAGCAAGATGATGACTTTCAGGCAAAGTTCTTTTTGTTCACTTGTTACGTTATTTAAAGAGGACTGGTATTTTACATTTGCTTTATTTCAGTGTTTTAGAGTTTGGTTGTTACATTTCTGTTTATTGTACTAGTAACTTTTTAAATTACTTGTTTTTATCTGTAAAGTTTTTGTTCATTTGGGAATATTTGACTGGATGTCCTATATCTTGTTTTGACAACCAATCAATTGAACAAAATTATGAGGTTTCTAGGCTGGATTCTCACATTGCTGCTATGTTCCAGCGAACTCCTCTCGCAAATCAAGAGCAAGTTCTATGTCAAAGCTTGTGTAAATAGATTCTCCCACAGAAAAAGATGTACAGAAACCTCACAGAAGTCCATCATTACATGGGAAAATAGTGTTTTTATAAGTACAAATAGCCTATGGGTTTGACAACCTTCGGACTGTTTCATGCACTTTCTTGGAAAGTTGAAAGATCTTTATGGGTCCAGTTTCTCTACACTTTAATACCTACTAACAACTAAGTTACTGTAAATCTTTACTCTAATAATCAAATACACCAGTTTTCCAAAAGAACAAAATGTGTGTGTGTGTGTGCCTTTATTCTCTCTTATTTCTATTATTTTTGATTCATAATAACGCAAAGGCCTTCTGCTACCTATTCTGTAACGACAAGCTTACGATAGCCTACGGACTTTTTCTCTGCGCACCTTCCGCTTAAATTGTCATTTAGAGTTCCGCCGCAACTAGCCTATTGTAGTGCATTTGGTGATGCAATCAATATTTCCTTTCGTATAAAATGTTGAGACAAAATACAGGCTACTTTTGTAACTTTTTGCTGCTCTTGCATTAAATGGTTGTGTTTAGCATTTTGTTGAAGAGCGTCCTTTTCCACGAGGTTCGCTCCGATTTATGGCACAAAGCCTTAAAGGAAGCTGTCAAACCCATCCCACGGTTATCCGGATAAAGCCTTTGACGGCTTTCAAGGTATTTGCCCCGTCTTTTTTCTTCATACAAAGTGATTTTTTTCCCTTTTATATTTCAACAGCTGCATTTAATTTAACACATCGTTGCACATCCTGCTATGCAGGATCTGTTCATTTGTACCGAGCATCCCCGCGCGCGCCCTCCTCTCCGCTACTTCAGTCCGCCGTCCCTCTGTTCCCCACGCGCAAATTTCCTCATATTTACGGCGTACGTCTGCGCTAAATGATGCTTAGTACAACCTGTTTTCTTAATACCGTGACCGTGGTCATTTAATTCGCGGACTATGGTTTTACCGCACGCATTTGGAAATAACCTACTACTTATTACTACTAACAAGCATTTAAGTGAAATAATAATAATGATGATAAAAATTATAAAATGAATAATGTTGTTATTATTATTATTATTATTATTATTATTATTATTATTATTATTATTATTATTATTATATTATATTTACGGCAACAAATTAATTTTAGTGTTAATGTACAATTTTTAAAATATAGGAATAGTCAAGAAAATGTTGGCATTAATATTTTAATTTCATCATTTAACAAAACTATTGCTTAACATTCCTGGCTCTGCTATTTACTCTAGTGTGTATAAAGCTTGTTTAATAAGCTTTGGGCCGGCTCCTCCTCGCCTATCGATTGAGCTGTGCGGAATTATAGAAACACTTGAATCTCAGGTGGCAAGAATGTGTACAATTGATCTCTTCCAGTGTGGCTCCCAGCAGTGACTCCACAACACACAGCACCACAGGAAGACCTCCAAACCCAATGGCTGCACACTCGGAGAGGGGCAGTCCCAGTCAACACCACACAGTGTCAACAAGTACTGAGCTGCTGGTAGGCTCATCCTTTGCCTAGCAGACAAAATCTCTTTTCATTGGACACACTTAGGATCAAAATGTACCCCTAAAATAGTCTGATCTCCACATCATTTAGGAAGTAATTTGTCCATTGTGTGCTATAAATATATAATAATATAATATATATATAATAACCTCTGACAGAGAAGCATTGGCTGTGAGTTAAACACACCATTTTAAACGCAGGATCACAGCACTATAAGTCAGTGTTTTAACAATGATTTTTTTTGTTGTTCATCAACTAATATTTGTAATTCAGAGTAATTGTACAATTTTATCTTTCCCATTTAAAAACACTATCAAAAATATTTTTCCTATGCAGTAATTCTTCATTGGCTATTACAGAGTCCCTAATGTAACACTGTATAAAGCATATTCTGTAGCTACAGTAAAATGTATTTGCTTAGAGCTTATAGAATTAATATGTCACTGCAAAATGTCTTGGGGAATGTTGTGAGTTTATGTTGTGTTTTTTTTTTTTTTCTTTTCTTTTTTGAGGAGTCGGAGTGGACTGGAGATGAAAAGCTGCAGCCTCCATGCGCATCCCTTGTGTAGAGTCGATGCTAACTGTAGCCTGGGGCCCGGTTAGGACACCCCACTGAGGTTCTGGCCCACCGCTGGGAGATCAAAGAGCCACTCACAACAATGGTGAGCCTCATCGGACTATAGCCATGATTGACTTTCTCTGGACGCCACACCTGCCCTCACTGTCGCTCACACTGTTATTATGGACCTACTTGCAAATGTATAGAAATGTGGATAAGTGGGTTAATGTTATTATGTCATATACTTGGTTGATTATGAAGTTATTAAATTACTGATTAATGAATAATTGAATATTGAATTGGTAAAATAGTTGCATGTCTCTACACTGCAAACATCCAAGAATGGTGTTTTCACATTTTTTGTAGATAAAGCTCTTCTTTAAATTGTGTCTTCCTTCAGAGTTTTTATGCGGCTTTTATCTCCCCCAGCTCCTGGTGGTGCTTCCTGTGGAAAATGGAGGCCTGGTGTGGCGTGTACACAGCTGGTTGGAAGACAAGACCTCCAGATTGTAAGTACAAACATCAAGCCAGATTTTTTGGGGCCTGTACACTCTCACATTTATCACAGGCGAGCAATCGAAGTCTGCTTGGAAATATCTTGCCACTATCACTGTAACACTATGGACTTCTTTCTAATGTGCTAAAAAGTTATGGGCAACTACCTGGATAATTTCATTTTATAGCATATGACAAGGACACTGTTCTAATTTGATTTGTTCTATTTTGATTTTTTCTTACAATTTCACTACTAAGAGTCATTTCATGACCCATTGCGTAAAAAGAGTAACTATAGACTAACAGGTGGTACTTCTTTAAGACTATAAGGCTTTTGCAGGACAAGCTTGGTGCCCTTTTCTCTCATGGTAAGATGGGAACCTTCAGGGATACTAATGAATATACAGGGAGCGTTTGTCTAACACACAGTGCCTCTGCTATCTCTGTCCCTACTTTATCATGACTACTAAAATTGCAGGGCCATTTTACCAAGCTTTTACTTCTCAAAGACATTTAGCCCATTGTGGTGCAAATTCTTGAAAATTTGATGTCAACGGTTTGTACTTTTAGGTCAGTTTAGGTTGGTGAGACCAGCTCTGTTGACAAACTACAATCACCTTTTTTGTTAAAGAGGAAAAAAAACTATCCTCATTGGCCCCCAAAGGCAAATTTAATTTCATGTGGATGTCCATTTAAAGATGAATCACATGTTTCCTTGTTTTGTACTGTAAAGAATGGACACAGATCGTCTTTCTCTGGTTTTAAAGACCAGCTCTGAGATTAAGTAGGTTGATTGTGGTCTATTCACTGTCAGAATTACACTTGGAAACCTAAACCGGGCCTGTCTATTCTCAGGGCTTATGCACACACACAGACTTGGGGACACTTGTGTTAATGTCATCTTGCAGATTCAATTTCCCCCCATCACCAGCATCTAACCTTAAGCCCCTCAACCTTAAGACACTTATTTGTTCCCACAGTGTCAAAAGATGCTAGTGAGATGGAAAGATATTCGGCTTCCGGAGATATTGATATCGAGCGTCAACATGAAGTGTCAGGGCGGATAGGAAGAGGGCCTTCAAGCCGCCTGTCAGGTGCGTTTGACTCCATATAGGTGCTTTGCTTAGAGTCGCCTTGAGTTTATTGAATTTGTCATTTTTGGCCTGGGGAGTGTAAAGGGCACCTGTGTGTGATGCCGTAAGCCCCCCGCTTCAGTAGTGCCACGTGGATCACGAGATGACAAGTGATGTGCAGGGACAGCCCCAAGCCGTGGGTTTTTCTCAAAGCGCTTCTCCACTCACTACGTACATTATTCAACAGGGAAACAGCGGAAAGATATTTACAGTCTTATTAAAAAGTTACAAATTTAAGAGAAAAAAGTAATAATCAATATACCAAGACAGTTTTGAGGTAACATGAATTCAATTATTTGTTAAACTTAGGACTTATTATTTATTTATTTAATGAGACAGGGACAGCGAACAAGTTTTACATTAACCTTAACCAGGAGAGATGCATTGTACCAGTTGTAGCAGACTTAGACAAATTAGCAAAATATCTTTTATTTATACTGTATGTTTGTTCCTACATTAAAACAAAACAATTCAAAGTAGGATTGTCAAAAAATTGCTATCCAGATACAAATCTACTCTATAACTAGCATTAAAATCTTTATTATAAAAATTTGAATAAATGTACTGATGCCTAAAACAACAGAACAAATTCTGACTTCAATATTAAAGAAAGTACTAGTATTTTGTGTTGAAAACTTATTTTTTTTTTTTTTCAAAGAAGAGTTTTATTTTGATTGTGGTATCAAAATATTAAATATTGTGCCAGTACCTTATTATCAAAATCTTGTATCTTGACCAATACAATACTGTTAATTTTGCATTTGTAATTTGCACATGATATAAACCCAGATATTCATGGAGAATTTAGACACCAAAAACTAGTATAATACATTTTTCACCGTCACTACTTTTGCAATGCAAAATGTATCATCACATGGCCAACCTCCAAATAATACAGGAAATGAACATTGGAAAATACAGCTTGTTCTTGCCGTCTGCGCTGACCACCCACATAACTGTAGATCAAAGCTGGGGCCTGCTACTGTGGCTTAATATTCAGTGACTTCAACTTTTGGTGATGAGCTGGTCTGGTCTGGTTCTGACTCTGGGAAAAGATCTGATAGGTTTGTCCTGCACCTCCTTATAGCTTTTGGATGAGACTCACAACCACCCACGCTTGTGTAAAAAACATCTCACTATTTTTTTTCCCTTCATTGGACATGATGTAGGCAGGAAAATGGCTGCTCCTCTGTGAAATGTGTAATCGCATGTTAGATAAGGGAAGCATTAGGTCATGGCGATTCCCACAATGTGCTATTTGAAATGGGGATCTGCATGTGTGGGTTATAGGCTCACTTGTGTGTATAACTCAATTGCAAAGCCAGACTTGGAGGTTGGACTCCCACTGGTGGCGAGACTGCATCACTCATCCGATTAAAGCATCCGTTAAATAGCATATGTTATGACTGTGGGATTTCATGGCCAGGGTGTTTTACGTCTCCCTGCGTTCATGCCTTCCTCATGCTCAGTTAAGTCCATGCCACCTGTGATTAATAAGAAATATCCCAGATCCTGCAGGTTAATGT